GTGGACTAGTTTCTTTTACTTAGATGAACAATCTGATTATGAACTCTACTGATTTTGATGAAAATATTTTAATCATTTTGGGGACAGACTTGAAAGCTTGATAAAAGAGCCTCGTAGATATTTTCCCAAGCAAGGCAGCAGTGGATATTACCAAATACATAGCACGTGTGGAATAAAAACCGATTCTGAGGTTTTCTTCAAGTAACAAGGTTTATTGAACAGAAGTCAGCTAGAACTTTCACAGCCAGAGAGGAGAAGTCAGTGCCTGGCTTTAAAGCTTCAAAAGACAGGCTGATTCTTTCTAGGAGCTAATGCAGCTGGTGACATTTAAGTTGAACCCAATGCTCGCTTATCACTCCAAAAATCCCAGGGCCCCTAAGAATCATGCTAAAGCTACTTTGGGCTCTATAAATGCAACAAGAAAGCCTGAATGACATCACATCTGTTTATAGCATGGTTTACTAAATATTTTAAGGCCATTGTTGAGACCTACTGCTTGGAAAAAAAGATTTCTTGCAAAATATCATTGCTTATTGACAATGCATTTGGCTACCCAGAACCTCTGATGGAGATGTACAGAGATATTAATGTTGTTTTCATGCCTGGTAACACAGCATTCATTCTGCATAGCCCATGGATCAAGGAATACTTTCAACTTTCAAGCCTTATTATTTAAGAAATATATTTTATGAGGCTGCCGCTGCCATAGAGCATGATTCCTCTGATGGATCTGGGAAAGTAAATTGGAAACCTGGAAAGAATTCACCATTCTAGATGCCATTAAGAACATTTGTGTTTCATGAGAGGATTTCAAAATATCAACATTAATATTAGTTTGGAAGAAAGTTGATTCCAACTCTCATGGATGACCTTGAGGGGTTCAAGACTTCCATGGAGGAAATATGAATAACTGCAGATGTGGTAGAAATAGCAAGAAAACTAGAATTATAAGTATATCCTGAAGATACAACTGAATTGCTACAATCTCATGATAAAACTCGAATTGATAAAGAGTTGCTTCTTGTGGATGAACAAAGAAAGTGGTTTCTTGAGACGGAATCTACTCCTGGTGAAGATGCTGTGAACATTGTTGAAATGACAACTAAGGATTTAGAATATTCCATAAACTTAGGTGACAAAGCAGCAGCAGAGTTTGAGGGGATTAACTTCAATTCTGAAAGAAGGTCCACTGTGGATAAAATGCTGTCAATAGCATCAAGTGCTACAAAGAAATCTTTTGCAAAAGAGTCAATTGATGTGTCCAACTTCATTGTTGTCTTATTTTAAGAAATTGCCACAGCCACCCCCAAATTCAGCAGCCACCACCGTGATCAATCAGCAGCCATCCACACTGAGGCAAGACCCTCCACCCGCAAAAATATTACAATGGCTTAGATGATCATTAGCAATTTTAGCAATAAAGTATATTTAAATTGAGGTATGTGCATTTTTTAGACATAAGGCTATTGCACATGTAACAGACTATAGTAGTGTAAACATAACTTTTTTATGCTCTGGGAAACAAAAAAAAATCCGCGTGACTTGCTTTATTGCAATATTCAATTTGTTGGAGTGGTCTAGAACTGAATCTGCAATATCTCTAAAGTCTACCTGTACTAGGAAATATTCTGAGGTAGTCCAGTAAAAGATTTCTACTTGCCTTTTCAAATATTCATAAATAAGTGGACGTGCTTTGGGCTATGGAGATAGTTTCATAGGATTAAATTAATTCCTTTAAACAGGGGAGCTGGAATGGAGATAAAAGTTCACTCCATCAGCGTTCTGCTGTCCCTGCGTGTGGGGCTGGGGGGTCCTGGGTGGGTACCACCTTCACTGTTTCCTGCTCACACATTGCCAGAGGTGGGATGAGAAAAAATAAAGTTGTAACTAGCAGTTTGGAGCCTGGGTTAAGGGAGACAAAAACACATTTTACAAATGTGCTTTGTGGACAAAGCCTCGGTCAGTTAGTTAGCTGTTTTTGGAGGTGAAAATATTCCCGCCCATATGTATATGCATATGAATATATGAGTGTAGATATTAATTTCACAAGAAATCCCTCCAAGTTTCCACCTCATGAGCCCCTGAGAGCCCCAGTCCTCCAGGGACGTGCCCTTTTCCATCTGCTTCCTAACCTGGGCTGCACAACCGCCCAGCACCAGGGTGTGTGTGTATATGTATGTGTGTATTTTTTTTTTAACTACTCAGCACATTTGTCAAATTAAACTATTGAAATTTTTTGCAAATCATGTTTAGGAAGAAACAGAAAGATAAATTACTGTCAGATTTAGAATTCTGATTTTTATTTAGTTAATGTTTTATTCACAAAGTTCATGCACACATCGCATATATATGTAAATATATACATGCCTGTTTCCTTCCTGTGTGTTTATGGCATGTTCCTGTGCCAAAGTCAGACTTTGGCAAATAAAGGAGGCCAGAGGCAGTTTCAGTGGGATGACTCTGAAAATTCCAATCTGACAGTGTCTTTTCATGTACAGATTTTTAAAATTTCATTAAGTCATATTTTTCTGTGTTGTTGTTGTTGCTGGTGCCTTGGTGTCATATACTTGGTATATTAATTTGTGAAAAGCAGTTAATACATCTGACTTGGAAGGCTTCAACCCACATCTTCCCAGGTTCCTAATGAGGCCTTCGTTATCATCAAATATGTGCCAGGCATTGCTAGCCATTGAGGGTACAACTATGAACAAAACAGACAATGAGCAACAATGAATAAGACAGAAAATGTCTTTTACCCTCATGGAGTTTACATTCTTGTAACTCTTCAATTCATACAACTGTAAGTCAATCTAATAAACTAAAGTTTTCAATGGAGAGAATTTCCAAGTCAAAATTCTCACACCTTTCCCTTTAAGATTAGAAGTCTACAATCAATTACACATTTGAATTAGAGTCACAAAGCAAATCTGTCTTAGTGTCTTTACTATGCCTATATGTAAATACTAAATATACACATTCTTAAGCCTGATTAAAAATATTAAAACTATAAAAATAAATTTCATTTATATTTTAAAAATTTAATTCTAACTCTCCCAGTATTGAATCCTGGGATTACAAAATTGAGCTTACTTGATGGACAGTTCATGACCCAGATACACGATTGTCTGAGGTAGGTTTAGAGATTTGAACTGGGACGAGGGACATAGGTGTTGCAAATGCCCAGAGTGAATCTTTCCATAACACAGATGGGCAGACCGAGTCTGAGTTTAATGGTGGCTAAAATAACAGGGAACTCCACACCCACTCTCTTCAGATCAGATGGGTTTTATAACACGCTGTTTGCTAGATTTAAGCCTGCCCGTTGTCTCCTGAGTTGGGTAAATTACTTAGCAGCTCATCCCTCTCCTGCTTTACCATCCGATCCCGTTGTGCTGTCTGACTCTTCCATGTCGGGTTGTTTGGCCATGGACACCGGATGATTTCCCTCCTGCAATGTCTGCATTCAGAGGTGGCTGAGTGCAGCTGTAGCTCTTCCTCCCAAATAGCCATCAGCTCAGCTCCATTCTTTCATATGAACTATTGATATTTTCTGAGTTTTTAGTGAAGTGTGATTCAAACTTACTTTCCAGAAATATTCCTAGCCGATCCTCCCTTCAAACAGATTCGTCCTCTAAGATCTTTAGAATATAGACTATAGAACCTTGAATGTGGCCTGCAAGTCTTTGCCTGATCTGGCTCTTCCCTCCCTCAATGACCTCATCTCAAACCTGTCTCTTCTTATGCTCCATTCCACCCATATTGTAACCTTTTTTCACTTCTTCCACCAGAAGCCAAGATTATTTTCTACCTCAGGGCCTTTGCACAGGCTATTCTCACTTTTTGAAACACCATTTCCCCCCATTCTTTGCTTGGGTGGCTCCTCATGCTGCAGGTCTCACCTCAACTGTCATTTCCTACACAGATTATTTTTCTTCATAGAACTTCGCACTATTTGGGCGTTTATTTGCTTACTGTATCTCTCCCCACTAGACCATTAGCTGCATGGGGCCATGTATGGTGTTCTGTCTGCTCTGCACCCATCGCAATGTTAGCATATACTAGATGGTCAGTAATTACTTTCTCAATGAATATCACAGTTGCCATAGCAATCATCATTAGCCTTAAGTTTTACCTATTATAATCATTCATATAACCACTTTTGGCTCGTGAGAGGTATCCAGTAAGTGTTGAATGGGATTGAGATATCTAAATGTCAATTCTCCTACATTCATTAATACAATTATTTTTTATTACCTTTATGGTTCTTTACACAGTTGGCCTTCTGTAGCTTCTAAAGCTGTTGTCTTTCTGTTCTTAGCAGTCCTGTTCCAGGAAAGGAGACGTTTCACAAAATGTGCCTTTTGAGGGACCATCCGTTTCCTAACTTAAGAAAAAATGCCACTGAACATCGGCTTACAGTTAGTTATAAATTTTGATGCGTGTAACTGTAAGTTCCATATGATACTTAATGATTATTTATTTACCCCGGGTATTCCAAGAGATGGTTACACTGGCCCAGGTCACAAAGAGCAGGTTTGAGATACTGAATGATAGAAACTCCAGGTCTAGATTGTATAATGCCTGTGGCTTAACCCCGCCCCCTTCTGCCTGGTTCTCCGAGAACCTTCTTGCCGGCCCCCAAAGAATTCGAGCCTTGGAATAGCACCAGACTGTGCTAGAACCTCCTGAATCCTAGCCGTTTAGAACGCGCTGGCTTTTTTTTTTTTTTTGGTGATGTCAGTCTGCTTAGAGCATATCCCCATGAAAATTTAATACCTTGCATCTTGGCACCTGTGAATACGAAACAAGAACATAAAAATGATTTTGAACGTTGCGTTCTCACAGATGAAAAAAATGCGCCAACACGTCAAAATGCGATGTCGGAAAAAGGAAATCAGATTTATTTTTGTTGTTGTTTACAGCACCAAAGCATTTTTGGAAACCCGAATGGCGAAATAAGCGTTTTTTGCAAAAAAAAAAAAAAAAAAAAAAAAAACAAAAAACCGGCAGGGGCGGAGCGTCGTCGGGGTTAGCAGCACTGTGGCTGGGTGCCTGCACCTCGGCGTGACCTCCGGTCCGGCCCGGGCGGCGCACCCCCACGCCTCGCTCCTCGCGCTCGCCGCGCGTCGTTGTCCTTCAGCGATTGGCTGTCGGGACAGAAACAGCTGTGCAGAGCCGTGCCGCGTACAGGGCTGTGGACTCGGACGCAGCGTAGCCGGCTGGTGGCGACTCCCGCCGGGGATCCAGGGGCAGCGAGGAAGAGCCGGAGGCCACCGGCCCTGCGTCTCGGGGCGGCGCGGACAGGGCGCCCCCTCCCTCCGGCTCCCGCCGACGTCGGGGTTGGCGCAGGTGGGCAGGGCAGGGCGCCGCGGGGCTCCGGTTCCCACGGAGGCGAGCTCGCCGCCTCTGCGAGGGGGAGGGGCCATCCTAAAAATATGTAAATATCCGAGCGCCGGCTCCGCGCCGGGCAGCAGCCACGGTCCCAGCGCCGCCGCCGCCGCCGCAGGGTGTTTTACATGAAAATGAGAAGCCCGACGCGCTCCGCGCTCCGACCGAAGGCTGCTCGGTGATTAGCATGAGACTGGGCGGCTGTCCTGCTTCCTGCCCTTCAGGAGCCATTCTGCGCGCTCGAGCCGGAGCAGCCGTGCCAGCGCGCGGGGGCGGCCGGCGGGCTCCGCATCCTTGGCAGCCATGGCTCGCGTCGCCGCCCGGGCCAGTAAGTAGGAGCATGCATGTGTAGGGGGCACATGTGTGTCGGCGCACCCACCCACGCACGGCACCCCACCCCGAGCCTCGGGAGGAGGAAGACTGACGAGGCGCTGCGGTCGCGGGCCCGACTCGCGCTCTGCCCGGATTCCGCGGGAGCCCTCCTGCCGCAGCGGCGGTCCGCAGAGCCTGCCCGCGTCCCCGAGCACACGCGCCGCCGGCCCGAGCCTCGGGAATGAAGACTGCCTCCCGAGGACTGCGGGGGAGGCAGAGCCAGCCCGCGCCCGGGACTGCGGGCCGCGCGGCGGAGAGGCCCGGGGGGACGCGACTCGGACGCTGTCATCCCCACGCCTCGCACTGAGCCGCCCGGCGCGGCGGGTCTGCAGCCGCCCCTCCGGCTTCCCGGGCGCCCGATCCCGGGTCAGCCCCGGAGGCCTCGGCTTCCTCGTTTGCCGGAGTCTTTTGTGCGGTGGCTCACAGTTGGCTAAGCACTCCTGCGCTGAATCGGGCCATTGTCTGCGCCCCCATTGCTTTCACGCTGCAAGTCTCGGCGCCCCCACCCCGCCCGCCCCCTCCCCGCCTCCCCCTGGCCGGGGAGCCTCCTAACGTGCCTTTCCCCCCAGGAATCTGGAAGCTATAAGCCGGCCGGATTGCAAATGAAGTGTAATGCATTGTGGGACGTGTGTAAAATCGGAGCCTTCGCCGTGGGGGTGTGGGGGGGCGTGGGGAGGGCCGGACCCGCCGCTGGCGGTGTAGACGCCGACGAGGAGGGGCTGGGAAAATGCGCGCAGAGCCCGCCCGGGTCGTGCCCGCCGTAGACGGATGAAGCAGCGCGCTGCGCCCCGGCGCTGAGGCCCGGAGGATCCGGGCAGCAGGTCGCCCTCCCCACCATGAAGAAGACCCGGAGCACAACCTTGCGGCGAGCCTGGCCTAGCTCGGATTTCTCGGACCGGGCCTCGGACCGCATGAGGTCCCGCAGCGAGAAGGACTACCGCCTGCACAAGCGCTTCCCCGCGGCCTTCGCGCCCCAGGCTTCGCGGGGCTACATGACGTCAGGTCGGTAGCGCGGGCGGCCGGCCGGGCCGCGGGCGTGCTCGGTGCCGGCCGGGAGCCCGCGGGAGGGGACGGGCGGTGATGGATGCGATAAGTTACGGGGAGAGCAGGGAAAAATTAGCTCACATCCACCATTTTGTACCTCCGCAAGATCCACAGCAGGCCCTCTCAATATGGGGTTTGAGAGCTATTAGTTAGGTAAAACGAGGGAGGGGGCGAGCCGGGCGTTTGGGCTGCGGGGAGATAAATGACTGCAAGCTCCGCGCTGCAGCCTCCTCGGGCTTTGTGGACGAGCCTGCGTGCAGCGTTGCCTGCAGCGCCGGGCTTGCTCGCTCCTGCATGGTGGCCAGTTGCCTTCGTGGGGATTTAAACAGCCCCCTTCTCTTAAAAGGGAACAGGTTCCATGCACGGTTCCGGATGGCCCTGCATACATCTCCTCCGATTTGCACGCAGAGAACTGTGTTGGAGCTCATTGAATGCATTCTGTGGGGTAATGGTGTGTATGCGGATCGAATGCTCACATGATTCTGTGTGGATTTAACATATGTTGCTTTGAATTAGGGTGTATGGAAAGAATGGAGGCCGTATCATGTATTTTTGCACGTCAGACAGGAAGGGCAAACAAAACGGTAAATGGAAGTGAAGGCTTCAAAAACATTGCATCTTAAAATTGCAGTGCTGTGAAAAGCATTTCCCCAAGAGCCAGTCCTTTTTGGAAACACAACAGGATGGCTTTGGTTTGTGATTTGGGAACCCAGGGATAAAATACTTGAGGAAATGCTGAAGGAGGAAAATGCTAGTAATCTTTCGTCGCTTTAACCACCCGTATGTCATGATGTGTAAGGAACCGATTTTTATTTATTTTTGATTCTGGAAAAAATTAATTTTCTTCTAAGCACAGTGTAATGGGAGAACTGAGATTTTATGTTATACCACAAACTATACCAAATCATTCTAAGCCCTGTCTTAACTGGGAAGATTGTTTTAAGCTTGTGGTTGGTACTAATAGTCTAGCTTTACTATCTTTCTCCTAAAACAGCAGGTCCTTTTTAACTGGGGTCAGTATCTCATGCTTTAAAAATGTCTTGTGACCACATTTCCATGAATATAAGACCTAAATAAATTAACCATCTTTTTTATTGCAAAATCGGGCGACATAAGGATGTTGTACTATTTTGGCAATAAAGCTCCCTTGATTTTCTCTTTCATGAAAAGCCAAATTTGTAAAGGAAGTCACAACTACAGTTTATACTTCAGTCATTTAAGTCACTGCTGTGGTTGCTGTATTCTTTAGACTTGTGGCAGTAAATTTTGAAATACACCTAAATCCAAACCTAACCTCAGAACACATATGTACATAAACCCATGTCTGTGCTGAGTATTCAGATAATCCTGGGTTTCAGGGTTTGAATGTCTTCATTCCACACTTAGCAGTTCCCGTCTTTCTTGCACCTCTTAAAGAACCAGTCCTGATACCAGGTATGAGATTATAGGAGGGCAGGTGGCCATAATTGCTTCACCAAAACTGCAAGACTCCTTCATAAATTCAGGCACATTTCTGTGGAGCCTATTTTTATCTATCTTGACACTGCTTCATTATGATCATATTTTCATTCTTTGCAAAAGAACTTCTCTGCTATTGCTGGTGCTGCAAAGCATTTTTGAGGACTTGAGGAGGAAGCTTTTAGTTTTATTTGATTCTCTTATTTCATATCTTGACCTGCAAATGGTAAGATAGTCTTATGGTGACAATGAAGGATAGCTCATTTCAGGTTGGTGGTTTTCTGTCCAGTTTACTGCCAAGAACCAGAAGATCAAAAGGTGGTGGGAAGAAGAGTGATGTCATTCATTCAGTATTTTCTAGACTATCCCCAAGAGCAGAGTGCCTAGATTTTCATGGGGTTATAGGGTTGGATGTAATATCATTTTTGCCCAGGGAGGAAGGCCTATTATTTATTCTTTATTTTAAATGTTAGCTTATATATGGAATAAAAAGCAGGTGTTGCTGCTAATGGAAGGAAGTAGTAAATATTAAGACAAACACCTGCAGTGAACATTGGGTGAGTAGGTGGAGTATTTCTCATGCACAACTTTTTGGGGGATGGGTTGGGGGGAGTGAATCATATCTATTTCCTTTTCAAATATGACTCCTTTAAAAATATGAGTATTGACAGAAATAGATGGTATATTGACACACTTTGAGATCATTTATAAGAAGTTCTCTTCCCCCTAGGAAATGTAAAGGAAATCCACTTGTATTGAGTTAGTGAGTGGATATAAACAGCCTCTGTCACATAAAATGGAGTGGAAAATGAAGCAGCTTAGAAACACAGAGACTTTTCACATTTCTTCTATTTGTCCAAGCATTTGGTTTATTAACTACTCATACTATCACACTTTATTTTTAGTAAAAAGGTTTTTTTGTTGTGGGTAAATTACCTGAGTTCAAAGGACAAGATAAGCCTCTTCAGAGATATACTAAATAACTTAAAAATACCTTCAGTTAGGAGACTGTTTTTAGAAATTGTTAACCCCCCCCCAATATTCTTGAAAATTATGGGAAATGATCATTTTTTAAAAAAAAAAACTTTTAGGAAATGAGAGATCCTTGGAAAGTTTTAGAAATAGATATTAATAGCTGTTCTTTTGGTCTAGCATACCTATCACACAGTAGGTACTTAAAGCAAAATTGCAGGCTTCTATAATGGCTTTCTAATGAGACAGCACCCTTTCAAAGTCTTTTCTCCACTAATAAGTAATTACCACTGTGAAATGTGATTTATGGCAATAGGCTTGACATTTAGCCTTGGCTTTTCCTATACCTTCAGGATAAACTACACTTAAGCTCAAGAGGTTAGAACAGGCACCTATAAAACTAACGAGGTCTTGCAAAAGGACAGTTAGAGAATTCTGAAACTTTAAATCTCGAAAACCATGCCTTATATGACTGTTTAAGCTCCCAATTCCTGCTACCAAATCCAAAGTAATCCTAAGAATTCACAAGCTTCCTAGCAACCACTGAGTTCACAGGCCATGAGATGAGTTCATTGTTCATCTTGAATATTAATTTGCCAGTGGTGGATTCTGGGCAGAAGGGGGGAAAATCTTGCTTTTTGTTCAAATCAAGATGAACAATAAAATGTGCATGGCATTATCTGAAGAATTGGGGTTGGACCAAATGGATGTGGAATCATTCCTCTGCATTTTCTAAAACTAGAAATTATGATATGAATTAAGTAGCGATAAAAGTAAAACTCCCCACGAAGAGGGAAATCTGTATGATACTTACTTAGTACTACTTTATGTAGGAAAACAGGCTCACGTCCCTCCGTGAAATGATTTTCAAGGCCCGGAGCCTTTTGTTGATGAAGCTGTTAGAGCTTTCTCTGTTAGAACTGTGTGAACTGTGACCTCTTCACGCAAATAATGCTACTAACTTTTATTTCACTTCACTCTCCCCTCCCCCAATCCTGGGGATAGGTGCTTCTTTATATGCCATATATAATGCCACCAATGTTTTGGGGACGTTCTTACTAACCAAGATTGGAAAGTGATTTTTCCACTATACAGATTCCCCAGAGCACATTCAT